CAAAATCAACCAAACAAAGGGAAAAAGAGAGAGAGGAAGAGGAGGAGGAAGAGGAAGAGGAAGAGGAAGAGGAGGAAGCATTGAGGTGGCTTAGTGGGAACTTGCTATAAAGCCTGACAACCTGCCCTTAATTCAATCCTTAGGACCCAAAGGACAGAAGAGAACAGACCCCTCCAAGCTGCCTCTGCCCTGTGGCATTGGCCTATACAGGCAAATAATGGTGGAGGAAAGGATGATGACTGTGGAAGACGAAACTACAGAAAGCTCTAGACTTCCCAGAGCCTGAAGACCTAGGCCACGCGCCAGCGCCAGGCCCATCTCAGCTCAGCTAATTCCCACAGTCACTCCTCTGGGGTCAGGTCTCCTAGCCTGCCTCACCCTCTCCTCACTCCCCACTCCTTCCCAGGGCCGAGGGGCCTTACAGTCAGATGTGTGTTCTAGACTGGCCCAGACTAAGCAGTAGAATGGCAGAATCATGGGGGTGGAGGGTGATTGTTCAAACACAGGTGGCTGGGGGCTGGCTACACCTCACCTCCAGCTTCTGGTAATGTCCGCTCTGCTGGTCTAGGGCCAGACTTCCATCCGTGTCCTAGGCCGAGAGCCTCACCTCCCTGACCAGAACAAGTGTCCTGTACTCATTCATCTACAACCGGACACAGAGCCTTAGCAGGTTGGGGAGCAGCTGGGTGGAAAACTCAGCTCTCCTCCCTCTCCCGCTTCTGACCAGTTCTCACCCAGACTAGCTTCTATCTCCCGGTCCTCCTTCCTCAAGCTCCTGAGAGCTGGGATTTCAGGCCTGTGCCGCCATACCCTGAAAGAGAAGCGCTCCTACTGCAGTTGGCAACAGTCAGTCGTACATTTCAAAATAGCTAACAGGATTCTGAATGCTCCCACCACAAAGAACTAAGCGTCTGAAGCAGTGGATATGCTAGTTACCCTAACCCGATGATTGCATCCTGCTTACAAGCTGTAAAACATGGTACAGTATCCCATGAACATGTACAATTACTATGGGTCAATGAAAGTGTGTTTGGTGGGACAGTGCCATTGTTCATTGGGCCAAGGTGATTACTGCCAAGTCTGAGGACCTGAGTTCCATTCCCAGGGCCTACAAGGTGAAGGAAGAGAAACAGACTTCTCCAAGTTGTTCTCTGAGCTCACATACAAATGCCACAGCACACATACAAAACATAAATGTAATTTGAAATTAATAAAAAATGGGGACTAGCCGGGCGTTGGTGGCGCACGCCTTTAATCCCAGCACTCGGGAGTCAGAGGCAGGCAGATCTCTGTGAGTTCGAGACCAGCCTGGTCTACAAGAGCTAGTTCCAGGACAGCCTCCAAAGCCACAGAGAAACCTTGTCTCAAAAAAACCAAAAAAATAAAAAATAAAAATAAAAAATAAAGGGGACTAGAGGACTGGAGAGGTAGCTCAGCAATTAAGCCATTTACTGTTCTTATAGAGGATCAGAGATCAAGTCTCAAAACCACATCAGGCAGCTCACAGCCATCTGTAGCTCCAGCTCCAGGGGATCCTACACCCTCTTCTGGCCTCTGACAATACTGCACTCACACGTGCACAAACTCACACACAGATGCACACACACACACACACACACACACACACACACACACACGGGGGAGAGGGAGAGGGAGAGGAGAGAGAGAGAGAGAGAGAGAGAGAGACTAAAATAAATACAAAAATGAAAGAAATTAAGACAAAAACAAAAGAAATGTAAAGGTTTCAGGTGGTGGTGGTGGCACACGCCTTCAATCCCAGCATCCACCACCAGGGAGGCAAGGCAGGGCCAGTCTCTGAGAGTTCGAGGCCAGTCTGGTCTACAGAGTGAGTTTCAAGCCAGCCTCCAAAGCTACAGAGAAACCCTGTTTTGAAAAAAAGAAAGAGAAAAAAGAAAGAAAGAAAACAAAAGAAATTTATGGGCTGGAGAGATAGCTCAGAGGTAAAGCCAGCCTCCAAAGCTACAGAGAAACCCTGTTTTGAAAAAAAGAAAGAAAGAGAAAAAAGAAAGAAAGGAAACAAAAGAAATTTATGGGCTGGAGAGATAGCTCAGAGGTTAAGAGCACTGACTCCTCTTCCAGAGGTCCTGAGTTCAATTCCCAGCAACCCACATGGTGAC